TGAGAGAGTTGATCCCTGCCAGCTCTGGGGCTCTCTTAGATCCCTGGCAGAGCCTCTTGCTTCTCGCTGCGTGCCTTTCCGCAGCTCTCTTGGCTCATTGCAGCCCGTGGGGTGCTGTCTGTATCTCCTGGCCAAGCCCCATGGCACGGCACTTCAGCTGCCGCATCTTCCTGCTGGTCCTCCAGCTTTGCCTTCTGACAGCTCCTGTCCGCGACCGGAGGTGCGTGCGTGTCCCTGCAACATAAAGCCATCCTGAAACGTGTTAAGGATTGGGATGACGAAGGCATCTTCGTACGCATCAAGGATCAACTTGATGTCACGGGCATGGAGTCACTGGGCAGTTCCGGCTGGACGGAACCTCCACCTGCCTCCAGCCCCGTCTCCAGCTCCAAGCAGAGTCTGCTGTGAGACCAGGGAGGCTCCTCAGGGCTTTTTGCAGTCAGGTCTTGAGAACATCCACTCGGAGGCAAACGGAGAACAGCAGTTCTGCCTGCCTCTGGGCTCGCCGTTGTTTGGGAGGACACGTAGGACATAGAAATGGTGTAGAAAGCCCTAGGTACAGGCTAGGGAAGTGCTTGCTGGTACCCAAGGTGGGTATCTTACAGGTAACTGGGTTCCTGGGCTTCTGAGAAGGACCCTCCAACGCTGCCCCTGCATCTCTGATGCACAGCAGTAAATCTGTTTGCATAGGCAGCCAGGTTCCCCTTGTAAATCTGGGGCTGGGGTTTCTTTCTGCGTCTTTCTTTGCTCTCTTTATCACCTGCCTTCATATCTGGTTTCCTCCTCCTGCTTTCAAGGCCCACGAGGAAGAGGTGAGGAAGAAGTTCCGGCCCATAGATCAGCTGAAGGAGGAGTTTGAAAAGCTGAACGTGAAGATGGAAACAGACTATGAAATTATGGTTAAATTGATCAGCAAATTCAACAGCTCTGCCTCCACGCTGGATGAAAAAGTAGCGGCGCTTTATGATCTTGAATATTATGTTCACCAGGTAACAAAAATGTATTAGTAACTACCATGTAAAAACCAGGGAATACGTTGTCATAACTGTAGCTTTATTTTTCTTATCTGTATCAGGTAATACAAATTGCTTAATTATCATAATCCTGGGACAATAACAGACAGCAGAGGGCTACTGCAGTCTTACTTTATACCCACCTTTGAATAAATCATCGCTTGTGCCAGCAGCGAGCAGTTTCCCAGGGTTTAGAGTTGCCTGATTTGTTGTCTGTTCTCAGGCTTTTTTCCCTACCCTCTCTTTTGCTTCTTTTATACGTTTAATGTTACAAAATGGGGTTTTATTTGCCATTTTTGGGTAAGTAGAGTGGTGGCTACTAAGAAAATAATTTTTTCTCGCTCCTTCCATGGAAAGCCTCTGTGGTTGCAAGTAGGTGCCCTTACATCAGTTCACAGAGAATGTCTCCATACCAGGGAAGACGACAGCCACCCAAAAACCTGTATTTTGTCTCGGTGTGAGTGAGAAGTGGCAGGTGGAGCCTCTCTCACAGCTGGGCTGGTGGCGACAACGACCAGTGGCTCAGGCAAATGGCAAGTTGCTGAGCACTAGCTGAGCTGTGCTCGTCAGCTCCGTGCTTGGGTGACTGTATTGCCCAAAATCTCGCTTCCTCAGGCTTATGCTCAGGCTTTTTCCCTGTCTCTGATATCTCTGCTTTCATTTTTACCTCCCATCGGTTGCCAGCCCTGGGCACACTCCTCTCCTCCCTCATGCCTTCCCACGCTGCAGTGGCCTGGGTGGGTGTCTGGGCATTGATGCTGTGTTCTGCCTTGTGGGAAAGGACTGGGCCTCTCCTCCCTAGCAACTGGGAGAGGCTGGAGCGGACTGGGAGTGTTTCCAGTGTCGCTCTCAGTGACTTTATAATTTCAGAGGGTGAATGGGACGACTCTTGGGAGATGCCAGCACAAGACCTTTCGCTGCAACAGCACTTCTTAAAGCCAAACGTGGTATTTTGGGGGAAGGTGGTGAAGGAGCATGCTGCTGAGAGAGGGAGTCTGTGCACCAGATAATGGAATTGTTATTTCCAGGGCTCTTTGTCTTGAATTTCCACACTAATTCTGTGTCATACGCATGCAGAGACTTCCTTGCTGTTTGTTCTCAATGCTTTTGTCTCACTGATGGCATCTGTCTGACTCAGAGTGTGAACAATGGGCGCCCAAAGAGCCTCATATTTATACTCAGGGCTAATTCTGTCTGGTTCAGGGTGCCAGAGCGTCAGGCCAGCATGCTAAAAAGCAACCCCCAAACACCCTGGATGCTTTGGATTCCAGCATAATAGTCTGGACTATTCCAGCACAAAATCCTGCCCACTTGCAGCACAGGATGGGGCAAACAGTTTCAGAAAGGCGAGAGGAGCAGGGAAGTGATCCCCGCTCCTTGTGCGGGGACTGGAGCATCAAAGAGAGCCACATCCAGCATCAAAGGGGTCAGGAGGGGGGAATGGCAGGGAGGCTGGTGGGGAGCACAGAGGCCTCCTTTGTGCATCGATCACAACGTTGCTCTGTGCCCGCGCTGTCAGGGCAGATGGCTGGGCAGCACCTTCTCAGCAGGCAGGAAACTGATAAGAAATATGACTTGTCTCTAAGCCAGCGTGGCTTTTCCTCCTCTTTCTTCTTCCAGCCAGTTGAATGCATCCAGAGCATTATCTCTGCTTGGGACTGACTTTAGCGGTGCTGGCTTAATGTAATTACTGAACAGCAGCCAAATACACTTGTGCCGCATAACCCTGGAAGGGCTGAACTTGTCCGGAGTGCTCTGCGGCGAGCCGCAGCCATACCGCCGGAGGACGGGGATCCTTGCAGGTGTGGGTGGCCCAGGCCAGCGTGCACCCACGGGTGGGACCAGTGATGGCTCTGCTGCTCCCCCAGCCGCCATCTGAATGGTAACGTGCCGCAGCTTTTGATGATAGTTTAGCTCCCGGCATCCTGCTGCTGCCTCTGGGGCACAAAATGTCCTGTCAAGAGGAAAATGCCATGCCCTGCAGGTTTTGCAAGCAAAGGATGCTCTCTGCTCCACGACATGGTCATGAGCATCCCGTAGCGCTGGGATGGAAGCAGCGTGTGCCTCTGGGCTTGCTGGAGGGAGCGGAGAGGAAGCCATGGCCGGTGCCGAGCCCGGGGAGACGCTCTCTCCTGCTCTTGAAGAGTCAGCCCAAGGGCTCTGTGTTTGCTTAGCTCTTGGTTGCCAGCTCTGGTTTGCTTCTCGTCAGCCAGGATTTGAGTTGGCACGTTTGGGAGCCCTTCTTGGAGAAAGAGCAGGAAGGTTTGGCTTGCTAGGTTATCTGTAACACATAAAAACCAAATGCAAATGTGAGAGGCCAGCGCATAACTCATTTATAAACAGAATGCACGGTGCTTGCACAGCAGTGTGTGGAGCCAAGGCCTGTTCTTATGCGTCGCAGGCTCTTTCTCTCAATTATTTACTCTCCTTATCTTTCTCTCTCCCCTCCTCTGCCATACTACACCATTTCTCACTGCTCATTTCCTCTGTTGCGTACGGTTGACACGCTGCTTTCCTTGCTCTCGTTTTCTAACATTTTCTCTCTCGCCTTTTCTCCCTGTTTTCTTTCTCCTCTGATTCAAAGCCTCTCCCTGAATAACTGCTGTCGTATTTGCTCTTCTCCCGTCCCTCTCCTCGCCCACCTTGCCTGTGTACTTTACCCAAGAGCTCTTTTGATCTTTGGCTTTCTTCTGTGCAGATTTCGGTGGACTGAAGTGAGGCATGAGCTGCCGCCTCACAGCATCCTCCGCTCCCCAGGGGGGTTAATACCTTCAAGTTGTTGAGTTCGGGAGCTTTGTTGGTTTTCAGATGGTGAGAGAAGGAGCTCTCACAACAGATTCCAGTGAAAAAAAGTAAATACATCTTGAAAATAAGCTTTACAGCACAATTTGTATTCTGCAGTCGAGGCGTCGCGCTGACGCTGACCTGAAGGACTCTGGTGCCGATGAGGTTACAGCAGTGGTTGGTTTTACCATGACTGGTGCTGGATGTAAACTTCTGCCCGTCTGTGCATTCGCTCTTCAGCAGAAGTCAACGTCCAGTTCCGGCGTGGAAACAGCCTCGGAGTTTTTACAGAGGCTGAGCAATAAAAGGACCCATTGGTAGCTGAAATTGGGTTGCTGCATAGATTTCTTTGTCTACGAAGATGGGCCTGCAGTAAAGTAAGAGGTCTGGCAGGTCCAGTTTATAGGGACAGTTAAAAGAATAGGATCTGAAAGGATACAAAGGCTACTGCAAATCCTGAATCAGCCCCAGCAGACCTGCAGAGATCAGCTTTCTATCGCTGGCTTTGCAGAATAGAAATACACACCAAGTGGTGGGTATTGTCCTGCTGGGGAGGAGATGAGCTGTAGCTCCCCAGGGCCTGCTTTGGTAAGGACATACCTGTAGGACATTAGGTAGCTTCTTCAGGCTCTTGGGTACCTAAAATATCTGACTTACGGCCAGTTTTGGTGAAGGAGGACGGCTGAGATAAAAATACAGCTGAGCATGAAGCCGCTGCCGATCAAAGAGCGTTCAGGCTGGAGCCCGGCGCCCGAGTCCAGCACATCCTGCAGGCCTTGCGGTGTTTGTCTCTCCCACCCCATCGGTGGGGTCTGCTTGCTGAAGCTGGGGAGGTCGGTTTGCCTGGCTGGTAACTCGTTTTTATGCTTTATTTCCATCTGACAACATGTGCTGTTGTCTCCCTGTCTTTCGGGGAGGAAGAATGTTGAAATTGTTCTGCACCCGCAGTTCTAAGCGTTCGTCAGAGTCCCTTTAAATCTGCAAAAAAAGCGCCTTGGAAACCAAACTGCAGTGGTTTGACTTAGGACTGAGTTTTGTACTTGAAGCACTTTGCTCTGCTTCTCTAAATCCTGTGAGCCACATGGAGCCCTTTTCCAGTCTCCTTCCCGAGAACAGATCCCCACTGCGATTTGTGCCTGGTTAGCCCCAGGTCTGGTTAAAGTCCGAGACGGATGAATCCCCACTAACGTTTAAGCTTTTCCCTGCTGGCAGTTAGTCCAATATTGTCTGGTTTAGAGAAATCATTGCTGGGGCTGCCCCGAGGGGAAGCTCCTGGCTGACCCTTCCGAGCAGCGACTGCCTTTTTCTTTTCATCGTTGTCGGTGCTCATGAAAAGCACCCAGAAACCGCCTCCGCTGTCAGCAGAGGGGATGCTGCCTGCACACCGTTGCTACTGACAGGCTCTTAAACGTTCCTGACTCCTGGTGCTACAATCAGAGCCTCAATTAATTAACTGCATTTGCAAAACGTACAATTCCCTGGGTTCCCAGTAAAGGCCTGCTCAGACGAGAGAGTAAAGAACTGGGGCTTTTTCAACATCAGATTTACTGGATTTTTGACATCGTCAGAATTACCGAAATAGGTGTCGAGAGTAGTTTTGATGGCTAATTGAAGGATTTTGAGTTTTCAGCCATGCCTTCTGCATGTAGTGACAGCCAGCTGTCAGTAGACTGTGCCTCTGCAGCCACGGCACCGACTGCTGGCAGGTCTCGTGCCCAGTCCGAGCCGCCGTCGTTCCCGCTCGGTTTTTAATTGCTTTTAAAACTCAGCAGTGGTTGGACTGGGAGGGGGGAGATGCTGTGCTTTCTGAAGTGGCGCGTTTCCCAAGAGTTGGTGAGTGAGATCTGGTTGGGGGTTCTGTGCTGATGAGGACCTGCTCTCTCCCAGGTGGACAATGCCAAGGACTTCCTCTCCATGGGCGGGCTCCAGCTTGTGATCGACGGGCTGAACAGCACCGAGGCCGCGCTGAAGGAACACGCTGCCTTCGTCCTGGGAGCCGCGCTGTCCGGGTGAGCTCTGTCCCACCCTGCTGGGAGGGCCAAAACCTCGGGAGACCAGATGGGCTCTCTGCTTCTCTTCATCTCTCTTGATTTCTTACTACTAGCAGGAGTGGAAAGCTGCTCTCATCCTGCAACACAGCAGACTGTCCTCTCCCTGCCTAGCCCTCTCCTTACAGCACCACTACCCCGACCTTCTCAGTGCGTCTTCATCCTGCTCATAGACTTAGCCAGAAGTAATTCGGTGTGGAAGCTATGATTGTTTCTTGGTTTCCCTGGGCTCCTTGTTTTTACAAGTCCAAGGGGCATAATTCTGCCTCCCCTCCTCTGCCCTTGGCAGCCCTCTCTGGGGGAAGAGCCGGAGGGTGGCGTGGTTACAAACACCCCAGGGAGTGGGGGGGTGTTTTCACCTTTCTCCTCAGCCGCTTTAGGATGGCGAGAAGCTGGTTTCAGAAATTCAGCAACTCCCATGGTCTTTGGAGGGGGTTTTAGCCCCATGGACATGTGCCTCTGGCACCAAAGGGGTGACGATTAGACAGGGGGTTAGGAACGGGGTCAGCAGGCGGAACCTAGAGCAGACTGGTCTGAAGGATGTTAGGGGGTCAGGAAGGCGGCCGTTGCCCGAAGGAGCCCAGGTGGCCTCCTGCTAGAGCGTGGCGTGTAGTGCTGCAGGTCTGCAGCGTGGGCTCTGTGGGTTGTGTCGGTAACCTTTTTGGTTTTGGGGCTTTGTGGTTTGTTGGTAGGTGCAGAGGCTTTAGAAATGCATCGGATGGACCCAAACCTCAAGGTCAGAAGTGCAGAGTGAGGACTGAAAGTCAGGAGTGCTATATCTGCATATTTCTATGCCTAAAAATACAGTCACCTTCTCCACTGTTATAAATTATTTATCACTTAGGCTGTAGGCTAATATATAGTCTACACATCTGCATTTCTTTTGCAGTCTCGTATACGATGCGGTTGCTTTTCAGCCTGTGTGAAGTAGCATGGCCTCGTGGACAGCCGCGGGTACCCAGACTTACACCAGGAAGGGATCCAGGTTAATAACAGGGCTTGACTTCCTGCTCACAGTGAGATACACCATCACAGCAGAAACACAGACCTGCTCTTCGTGTTCTGGCCTACCTTCGTGTTTGAAACTGTGTTGCAGTTGTATCCTTAGGTTCTTTAATAGCATGTAGACTCTTAATTATGTTTCATAAAGAGAAAATCACGCAGAGGCTCTGGAAACATTTGCAGGTAACTTGTGAAACATCAGGGGCTATTAAATCACTTCTTTCTTGATTTAGCTAACGTGACATGAGCCAGACTCAAGAAATTCGTTGCCTCATGATAGGAGCGTGTAGCAGTGGCCATTCAGCTGGTGCTTTTGTATAGCATTCCTCACTTAATTGCAAATGCCTTTCTTTGGACAGCAAAAATCTCTTTTCTAATATGACAATATTAAAATACCGCTTTGGAAACTCTCAGACCTTTTATCTTTAAAGGACATTCTGACAGATGGTAATTTTGAGTGGTTTGGATGATGTATTGTCTGAGAGCTCAGTTCCAAAATGTGAGGGATATTATGCCTGGGTTTTGGGTTTGCTTTTTTCTCCCCTTGCTGTGCTTAGGCTTTCTCAATAGACACCTACATGCCAACTTGTCTGCTTTGTGCTATCTGCTTAATTTGTTTGTTCATACATTTTCCCAGCTTACTCTGTGCTCCGTTTAAACTGCCGGGGGCATTTCAAGTACTTCACGCTAAGCGTTTTCTGAAGCCTTGTGTTTTTCTGTGGGTGGTTGTTTATTTCCTTTGCTCGTGGTTTTTCCTAGGGGCCTCGCTTGGGTGGTTGGACTTTCCAGTGAATGCCCAGAGGTGCGGCAGCTCACTGGGCTGTGGGGGCATGATCTGATCCCTACTTGTGTGCCTGGGGCTGCTTTCAGATCCTGTTGTTGGATGCTGAGCCACGCCTGGGCAAGAGGCCATGGTCTGCTGCTCACCAAACGCGTCTGCGGCCACCTCCCAGGTCTCTTCAGCCAGGTTGGCTCTGGCCGGACGTTTCTAAGCAGGCAAACCTTCGGGCATGATCAGGGCATGATCACTGCAGCTCCTCAGCCTGGGAGGTCATTAACTCCTGGCGTAGCTGAGCCTGGAAGAGGGAGTTTGGCGTTGTCTGTAGCCAAGTTGTTTATGCTGGAGAAAGCCACTGGTCACCGAGCAGCCTCAGGCGTGCTGGGATCACACCCAGAGCTTTGCAACTCTTAGAGATGCCCAGGCCTTCTCCAGTGTTGCGTTGTCCTTAACTCTGACCAGGTAGCGAAGCAGGTAGGGGACGGAGCAACCAGCTGCATCACCCAGGACCTGCCTGCACGCGGCATGGCTGGGGCCTAGCTCGGAGGTCCGGCTGTGCTGAAAACCGCTTTGGGATCAAAGGGTTTTCACCTTCAGCCAGCAGGCCGAGTGGCTGGCCAAGATGTTGGATCAGCAGTGGCAGGAGGAGAAGGCACAGCGAGGGCAGCTCAGGATTTCTCCCTCCTGGTATCGCTCCTATGTATTTGGCTTAAACTGAAAAGCAGCCTCAGCATTGCAGCGTTCAGCCCTCAGGGCAAGGGGTCCCAGGTCTAGCTGCCAGGGTGCTGCCTGCACGGATGCTGCCCTCCCCATCTGCGAGCCTCTGCCCTGGAAGCGGGTGACCTGATATGGAAGAAATCAGTATTTCATCCCTTGTTTCTCTTACATGCCCTTCGTTTTAGGCATTGGGGTTTTAATCGCCGAGTCTGTGACCAAATCAAACATCGTTCCATCTGGTAGAGTTTTCTGAGCGGCGCCCTTATTGCAACTCTACAACCTCAGCACAGTCTTACTGTGTCTGAACCTTTAACAAAATGTTTTCCATTCAGCAGTTTACCAAAGTAAACTTCATTTTAACAATCCTCAAGTGCTCTGATTGCAAATAAAAGTTAAATGCACTAACAAAAATAATTGCTAGGCATGTGGGATTGTACATTTAGGTATCCATAATTCACTAACAGTATATGCCAATACACAACATTATCTGGATTTTCAGTGATTGCATTAGCATAAAAGCATGTTAGCATTTATCTGGTGGTACTAACATTTAAATATATATAAGTATGAAATATTAAGATACAGCATTTTGAAGGCAAGTAAAACTACTGTCTGTAAAATGTTCTTGCATATTTTTGAAGGTATGCTCTAGTATCTTTGGATGACAATCAGCATTCGCACCATTGGGTCCAAACATTGCAAAAATGTCAATGTTTTATGCAAAGAGGAGCTATATTAAGCGAAAAAAAAGACTGCTGATGAGCGAAGTGTCTTCTGCTGTCCTCTAAGCTATTTACAGGCAGCGTCTTCCTTTGTTCGTAGCGCAGTCAGGCCTCTGCGCAATTGGTATCTAGATGTTTCACAAGACTGGAAATGTTAGCCAGAAAGGATTATGCTTGTGATTAAAACCTCAATTTTTAGAAACTTTACCTCCAGGAAACATTTTTCCACACCGATAATTTCAACATTTTAATATTTTGTAATAAAAGGATTTTTGTAATCCCCTTAGAAGAGGAATAATAATTTATGTGAATGCATTCTTGAAGCCTTATCCCAACTGCTCCCTCTGTGCTTAGGGGTGAGTTAGAGGTGAGAGTGGGGAGAAGCTAAGCCGTGGGACCTTCGAGGCAGAGAGAGCAGTTTGTATTTCATGGGGAGAGGGCAGAAAGCGCCGGAGGTAAGGTTTCGGCATGGCCAAAGTGGGGAGCGAGGAGGAAAAGTCGCTCGTGCAGCTGTACTGAGAGATTTGTGGTGGTTTGGCCAGTCCTTAAGCACCCACGTGCTGTTCAAACTGGGTAGCTGGGGACAGGTTTTCAAACTGGTGGCCCGAACTTGCATATGTTGTGTGTCCCAGCAGGACGCAGGGAGGGCCCCAGCACAGCCTCTTCCAACGAGCCCAGTGCTACTGGGGTCTCGCTGTTCCCTCTTTGGGCCCTGAGGGATAAAACAGGTGTTACAGGCCTGGGTAAAGACTCGTGAGTAAACTCATCGCAGGTAGTAACTCAAACATCAGCTTGGAGCAGCGCTCAAGAGTTTCCTAGAGGTGGCTGGTGGCAGGTTATTGCTTGTCCTACCTGTTTCCCGTGAGGTTAAACCCCTTAAACTATGACAGGTGTGCACCCGGAACGTCCCGATCGGCATTCTGCACCCAGCTCTGCACCTGGTTCGGAGGTTGCACTGTTTTGGCAAAGCAGAGGGAGGCATAAAGCATGCGTCTGCTTTTCAAGAGAAGCTGAAAGAGCCCGGCATGGCGGGCTCCGCTGCCTCCTTCTGCAGTGCTGTGCGGGGCTGTCCGAGCAGGGCTCAGCATCCTGACGTCTGGCTGCTCTCCGTTCTGCTTCCTCCTCTTTGCTCTGGGAGGAGGGACGGGTGAAGGCTGTCTCCCCATCCCTGCTCTGTCCGTCAGCACTTCAGTGCTGTCCATTCTCCTAGGGTGCCCGACTCCCATGTTTTGGCACCAGCTTCGTTGGGATGTCTTTGTGGAGAGGGAAGAGCTTCCGCCAGATTTAACGGGTTTGAATTAAGTCCAGCTTGGCAGTGAAACGGGTTGACGCTTGCTGCTGTTAAATAACATTAAGGCCTAAGCGATAAACCCAGGAAAAGTAAAATTAAAGACCTTGCTTCAGTGCTGTCTTGTAAGGACATAAGAATTTCTGTGCAGAGAAATAAATCTAGTTAGCTTAACAAGCACTGTCCCTACCCATTTATTTCAAATCCATCTTCATGTTCATCCCTTCCTCCTCCAGCTTCTTTTTTCATCCTGCAGTCTTTGCCCATCTCTCTATCCATTTTCACTGGTTTTTTCAGTGGCCCTGTTGCCAGCGCCGTGTGTTTGCCACCTCCCAGTTGCAGTAATTCCAGCTCGACTCCCTGTCTGCTTGTGATTTCTTGCTTTGTAGATTGTCTCTTCTATTTTTATGTGAACTCCTGACTTGTGTGGAGTTATCAGCCTCACTGCACTTAA